CGAACATGAAAAGGAATTGCAAACATTTAGTGCTTTGTATTTAGATAAACTCAATGCTAAACTGTGCCATCTCGCATCAGGCTCGTTAGTGGCGCCAAGAACTAATTGGTTCCGTGCGATTGAAGGATGGGGAAGACCAAAACAGCATCCGCTCCGATGTTATATGATTCTGAGAATTGCGCCAGGTATTTAATGATCATAATTATTTATTAAATGTCTTACTGAAGGCTAGAGTACTTGAGCTCTTGATCTTGAGTGGGTGGCATTGCCACGTGATCAATTTTGTGGACTCTTTTCGTTGTTTTTTGATTTTTGGTTGAGATAAAATACAAGTTCGACTAATTGACTTGTGCTATAAACCAAATGTTATGGCCATCAAAATTTACATTTATTTTCAATGCATCCACACACATATCAATAATTAAAGTTCTTGATTTCGCATAAAACAAAGCCAAACAATGAAAAATACAAATACAAATTTGATTTCCTGTATGCGTGCAACATTTAAAAAGTGCCAGCTCTCAATTGATGTCTCGCCAAAATTTACAATCTATCGGAGCTCATTTACTAGTCTACTTTATGTGCGGCTATTCAATTTTATTCTAAACTACTTTTTCCAATTCTATTTTATTGTGTTGTGCTTGGTTCTATTCTAGCCGAATCTAGTACTGGTTCAGTTGGCCGTAAATGTTGCGACCGCCTGATGCTGGACAATAGATCAACGTCGGTAATTATTATGGCGCGAAGTTGTCTCTCATACGGCAGCAGCCCGATGAGCCGGTCCAAGCACTTAAAAGTGCCATTTCGGAATTAATGCTTATGCTGAAATGGCATAAATATGCAAATTAGTGAATGGCAGTTTGGCTCGTCCCGCCGCATCACACAGAATCGAGAACACACAAAATAATAATACAAAAGCCATCATAATGCCCATTAAACATAAAATGGTCAGCCAAAAAAGTAAAAAGAAAAAAAAAACACACACACAATAAGAAGACAAATATAGAAAAAAAGAAAAAACGTGTGTGCACATATTAACTTGTCCAGCTCCAGCTCCAGCTTAAATCAACGCATCCCATTAAAAAGTATCTGAAAGACGGCAGGGTACGTCAAACAGGGAACGAAGCTAACTAATTCGCATTCTGGTAAGACTAAGCCGACCCTTGGCTACGCTTTAACTATACTTTTCTTTTATAGTATATATATACTCTTGCCATTGGCAAAAGTGAAGCGCTCAGCGACTGTTGCCAGGCCAGGCATTATTTTTATTTGTATTTTTTTCTTGGTCTTTCTTCGGCGTCGTCGCTCTGTCTAACAGAAATCTGTTTGCTTAAATCTATGCAAATTCTATTTTAATTAATATTATTCGCATATTATAGCATTTCGAGAGGCAGCAACAGTCTCTTTTTCGCCGCTTCCTTCAAGCTATACTCACACGCGCGCCTTAATTTAGTTTTTTAATCGTATACCCTAACCAAAATGGGGGCTAACAACTTTGGCCATGCTGACTGTTAATTAAGCATGTTTTGCTGCAATAATTTTCAAATAGGCAGTACTTTATATTAATTAACACTTCAATTATCAACCTGTTTTTAGTCGGTTGGCTTAACATCTTCATTCAACGCTAACTGCGCTGTGATTTTAATAGGGTACATATGTTTGGGCTTTGTGTGGCTTACATTTTTCCATATACCTTGAAATGGATAAGAGGGAATATGCTATGGAGAAAATGCTTCCCTAGACTCCTAAAAAATATTTATGTATAAATATATAGAAGAGTTTTTTTAGACAGGCATTAAAGTATCTTAAAAACTATGACAGAGAGAAACTTTAAGTGTATGTCCTCTTAGTATAGATCAATTTTATTTAAAGGCAAGCTACCCATCTCAAAGCTTATAATAGTTTAAGAAAATAAGCTTAGAATTTAGAGATATGGTCTTCGGTCTAGAGTTATACATATTCCTTTGTGTTCCATATGTGATCCCTCAAAATTTCTAATGTATCGGATGGATTGTAATTACCGAAGTTTATCAAGAATGAATTTCCCATGAATAATGCTGGGTAATGGATATAAGAAGCACCTTCGCAGGAAAAATATATCAATAAGTAAATGAAGAGTTAATAGTTTATATTGCCTGGCTTCAGGGTACCTGCTAGTCGTGCATGGCCGACTAGAGCACTCTTAGTTATTTATTTTATTCTTTTTTGAAGTACACGTTTTAGTCTTTTATGATAAATTAAGCTTTTGTTTAAGATGCTCGTTTTTGTTGTGTTTAATTTAAATGTATGATAAATCATTCGGGAAACCAGTTTTCTTTCTCGCTTCAAATATTGTGGCAGCGACTAGAAAGTGCCGACAGCGACATGGAACTCATCTGCAGAGCGAAAAAAAAAAAACTGAGCAAAAAACTGACAAGAAAAAAAGACAAAATTCATAAATAGAATAATAATAATCGCGCACACTTCCAACACGCGGCTGGGTCATTAAAAATTCATACGCGTGGCACAAGAAATTTGGCATGTTCCTTTCAAATTGGCTTTTTTTTTGTTTTGACGTGTGATCAATAAGTGGCCGGGTGAAGAGCAGGGGCGGGGGGCTCTTGGATTCTCAAGTGAACGAGGCATCCAATTGTGCGTCTGCAATTGCCCGAGCAGAACGAATTAATCACTTGACAGTCGAATGTTGTGGCTTTTTGCTATGTTTGCGGCATGACGTAAGCCCAGGGCAGCCCTTTTGGCCAGTTCCCACAGACAACTTACAAGCTTACAAAAATAATAGCGAAAAAAAAAAGGAATATTAAACGATTAAGCGGGGCGTGCTCAATTACCGAGCCATAGAAATGGCAGCCGGCTGCGGATCATTGAACTCTCAGCCTGACGCTTGATCTCGAGCCGCACTCGTTTTGCATAGCTTAAAAAATAAATAAATAAAATAGAAATAAAATATACTTAAGGGAAAAAGCCAAAATTCGCACAGACCAAAATGTATATAACGTAAGCAGGCAACAGGCCAATTTTATGCAAAGACCCAGCTGGATGCTTTACCCGCCATAAATTAAATTAAATTAAACTTTAACATGTTAGCCACACTTTACTTAATTTCAGCTGCATTTACCTAAAATACACTGAGATTTATGGTAGCTCTTTCTTGTTCATAATTAGAAATTCGCCTTGCCAGAGGTCAGCTACCGATGAGATCGGCTCAGATAAATATCTAGACCCAAGCTAATGAACCACTCTGCATATAGATTGCTTGCAGCCACATCTACTGCTACTCCTACTGCTACTGTTACTCCTACTGCTACTGTTACTGCTTCTTTTACTGCTGACCCACAGCATCGTTAGAGACCTGAGCAGACAATGGGCAGCCGCAACCGACTATGATTTGGGAGCTCGCTGCCAAATATTTGACTTTGATGGCAAACAGAAAATAAATATTGCTTGAAATACATTGTTTGCGGGCCCGCCTAAGTTTACCAGCTATACGTTTATAGACTTGATGTATCTTATATTGGCATAATAGAAGCCCACGTTATGTAGTCTTTTCTTTAAACAGTCGATTGCCTAGATTTTATTTATATTTGGTCATATGCTCATATATATATATATATATATATATATATATATATATATATATATATATATATATATATATATATATATTTATATATATTTATTTCTATTTATTTATTTTATTTTTGACTTGTTGAATTTGCATGAGAATCGTGTCTAAATTATCGCATTAATTTATGCTGGCAATTGGTTTTTTGTGCTCATCTTCCTTTCTATTGTGTCCGAAAACTTGCATGACCTGTGTATCTATTTCCATTGAGCCGCAAATGTGTGCGTGGCTCTGAACTAGTTTCCTAAACAAACATATCTACAGTCTGACGTTTATGGCTTATTGAAGCGAGAGAGCCAAGTAAATCAAAAGAGTTGGCAAAACTATGGATGAACTTTAAAATTTCTTGGTGGTTCACGATTCGAGCCACAAGCTGGGCTTTTGATGCAATAGTTCGTGAATTGGCCAAGTGAATAAAGTAAAGGGCTTTACGTTGCGAACTAACCAACTTCTATTAGATTTTCTAGGTAGGTGCTCTAGATTTTCTTAATCGTTTATCAAAATCTTGGTTTTTAAAAGTATTCTTGAAATAATTAAATCAATCTTTGTTATATTTTTAAAAATCCGGCGCTTTGAAGAAACTATCGTAATACCAAACGCAGCTGCCATCTTACATACTTTTATAAGCTTAAAAAACAGGTATATTAAAGCACATACTTATTTTTGTTAATATTAATACGCCCGCTCTCTTGAAAATATTGCAAGCCATATATATTTTCATACAGATCTAAGGGCTAGATTTGATTTTCATTCAAAATTTTCATCCATCCTATATGGTTAGATAATTCGAATGTTTAGGATCTAAGTTATTTGCATGCGGACTGCATCAGCCCTCAAAAGTTGTATTCTATGCTTTTTTATTTATATATTTTTATTTTTGTATTTTTTATTGTATGTATTTTTGAAAAACATAGTTTGGGTTCGGTCTTAAGCCCAGCTGTTTTTTGGATAATTAGTTTGCTGTAAGCTTTGGTTCGGGATAGAAAGTATATAAGAATTTCAGATCAGAACCGGTTCGGGTTAAGCCCGTTTAAGACCTTGATTAATAATCTCATCAATCAATATTAATTATTAATTATTTATCAGACACAACAAATATGTGCCCTATAACACCTTTTTCAGTATATAGCTCAAATGTCATGTAGTCCAGTGTGAAGCTCTATTTAAAAGCTGAAACATGTACACTTAATGGAGACTTGGCTTGCAGCGAGCTTTTAAGCTGAGCTTAGCGAAAGCGGAAACGGAACTCCAATTTATATATTACGCCAAAAAGTAGGCAACATTATTTTTAATTCGTTGTGTGCTTTTGCAGCAATTGCTGTTCTATATTTTGAAATACATATAATATATAATTGACAGTTTATACGGAATCGTGAGCTCATGTAGTGTGCCTGGGATTCCGGTAGTGATACCCATCCTCGCGGTACTCCGAGGCAGCCGTCTCATGGTCGAAGCTCTTGCTGCCCTTCCGGCGAGATCCCCTGTGCTCGGGCGCTGCGTAGCTCAGCTCGGGCGAGCTGGCTGCAATGCCAATGTCTGTGGCCTCGTCATCATCGTAATAATCTCCACCATCGGCTAGGAACACGCTGCGCTGATTGCCATTCACCCGGACAAGCCGACTTTGATACGCCGGATAGCTATAGAAGTTGCCGTCGATGATGTTCGTGTCTTGCTGATTGCCCACTGCATTCGTGGGTCCCTGCAAAGCTGGTTGGCCAAACACATGGCCCCGCACCACATTGAGGCCTTGGTAATTGGAGCGACTGCGTTGACGTCCAGTGCGTCGGCGACCATTGAAACGTGCCGCAACAGCCGCAGCCTGATTTGGATTGCCATTGCCCACTGCTTGGGCTGAGGCGGGTAGCTGGCCACCGAGTGCTGGATCAAGTGGCTGTGCTCCTGCTGCCAGCTGAGCTCCCAAAACGGGATTCGCATTGCCCACAGCTGGCGCCTGACCACCTGCAGGCAGCTGGCCGCCCAAAGCTGGCGCTTGTCCTCCAGCAGCTAGCTGTCCGCCCAGCATAGGATTAAGTAAAGCTCCATTTGGAGCCACGCCTTGCTGACCAGCTGGCGCCTGGCCAGCACCAAGCTGTGCGCCCAAAAATGGACCGAATTGATTTGTATTGCCGTTGCCTGCCGCCTGAGCTGCGGCGGGCAGCTGGCCGCCAAATGCCGGATCAATCTGGATCAGCACAGAGCCGGGTCGCCGAATAACTCCACCAGCCTGTCCGCTTACCAATGGATCCTGCCCGCCAACGGCCAGCTGAGCTGCCGGAGTAAATAGGTTCTGATTACCAAATCCTTGCAAGGCGCCGCCATTTTGATTGCCAGCTGCCAGCTGAGCGCCCTGCGAAGGATCTATAAAGAGATTGTTGGCCCCATTGCCGACCCCTGCCAGGCCAAGAGCGGGTAATTGTCCGCCAGCAGCTGGAAGCCCTGCATTGGCTGCCAACTGGCCACCAGCTGGAGGCCCAGCATTTGCTGGCAACTGGCCACCAGCTTGAGGACCAGCATTCGCTGGCAACTGGCCACCAGCTGGAGGCCCAGCATTCGCTGGCAACTGGCCACCACCAACTGGCAAGGCATCGGCGCCCAGCTGAGCGCCAGCTGGGTCAACCACACGACAGCCAATGGGCGGATTTCCAGCAACTGGAGACTGGCAGTTGGGCAAAGCCGTGACAGGCAGCTGGGCGCCCGCATTGGCAGGAAGTTGGGCACCTGGTACAAGGGGATCTGTTCGAATCTGTGAACTTAGTTCGGAGTCCTGGGACTGCACATTGATCTGTGTGTGGAACACAGAGTTGGGTGCACTTGCATAGAGCACGCGGTTCGGACGCCGACGTCGCGTCACAATTTGGGAGGGAGCCGCAGTCAGGAGTTGAGCGGTGCGCAGCTGTGGTGCAACCTGCTGGTAGTGTATGTGCTTGGTCTTCAGCGCGGGCTGCTTGTCGTAGTGATGGTAATGATCGATGCGCTTGGGCTCGTGATGCTCGTCGCCCTTATGGTAGACAACGTGCTCGCTGGTGTGCTTGTCCTTGCGGAAAAAGGGTTTCAGTGCGTGCTCCTCCGGCGGCAGATAATGCTGATCCTCATCGTCCTCGTAGTCCCGGTGGTGGTGTCTGTGATGTGTCGATGGCGCAACCTCCGACAACCAACCGATCGCCAACAGGCACAGCAACAGGCTTTTGAACAGCTCCTGTGAGAGAGAAATAATAGCAACTCGTCTAGAGGCTCCAAAGTATTCCATGCTGCGCTTACCATGACAACTGTGCTGATGTGCGGATCTCCAATTCAATTATATACCAAAACTTTGTCGAATTTTGTGGAATTGCATTGCATTTCCAATGGGCGGGATTTTGTGTGGTGGAACCTGTTATCGAGCGTGAGAAATTCGTCGGGCACTTTATGTGACCCATTTGTCGTATTGAATACTCACAATTAAAATACAAACGACGCTTCTAAGACAAAGCCAGCGCCAGGCGCAATTTATGGAGCAAGCATGCGACACTCTACGAATGAAATGAGTGCACCTTTTGGAAGCAAACAAATGGTAAACCGAATCACATAGCTTAGTCTGTGTGTGGCTCCAATCTTTATATTTGCATATTTAATTTGTCATTATTCATAAGGAAAAGTAACAGAGAAAGTGCAAATTAGTGACAATTAACAATAATAGCTTATAGGTAATATCTTCTAGTACACAATATCCCTTCCACCCAGCATTTTATAGGTATTTGATTCGAGTTTATAATCGGGGTATGCTTTTTATTGCATATATTCTTGTAAATCCTTCAAGTGTGCGACTTAGGCGCGATGCCTGTAGACGCGGTGACGCACAGTTCTGTACTCGTAGCCGGAGTGAGCGACTGCAGGAGCAGAAGCAGACGCAGAGGCAGCTGCTTCATAGTTGGAATCCGAGGATTCTACAGATTGGAAGCTCTGAGCTGGAGCAGCAAAGGATTGCACGGGAGCAGAGGCAGCAGCATGATGCTGGACCTGAGCTACGGCAGCTGGTGCAGCAACATGAGCTGGGACAACAGCTGGCCGGGCAGCCTGTGGAGCAGGTGGCACATACGTCTGAACGGAAGCAGAAGCTGACTCAGCTGGGGCAAAGGACTGCACGGGAGCAGAGGCAGCTGCGTGATGGGCAGCAGGAGCTGCAGCAGGCGGCACATAAGTTCTGGTCGGAGCTGGAGCGGATGCAGCGGCATGGAAGACCGGAGCTGCAGCTGGAGCAGGAGCAGAGGCAGCTGCTGCAAAGTGATGAGCCTGAGGTGCCACAAAGGATTTCACCGGAGCCGCAACGGAGGCAGCCACAGCGGAGCCGGGAGCTGCATAATTGTAGCCCGCCTCAGCGGCTACGCACCCCACCAAAGCCAGAGCCAGGACAAAGTGCTGCTGCAAGGATGATCGATCATCTGTGGTGAGCTTTAAATCCAGAGTAAGTCCTGTAAATACATACCATATTTGAAGTTCTGTCTGCTGTTGGGCCAATAAAGCGAATAATAGCCAGTAAGCAGCCGAGAACTTCTTTTATACGTGCATTTGGCGAACGGAAGTAATGCACATCATCAATCAAAGCAGAGGCTAAATGAGGTTCTAGTCCATTAAATTTGGCACACAAATATTTTCCAAATTATCCACTAGACTCTCAAATATTCCTCATTCATTATCCATTAGACTCTAAAATATTCCTCATTCATTGCTGTCAGTCGTAATTGGAATTGCCATTCATGAATATTTATGGCTCAAACCAGATTGCACTACTCAGCACTTGACTCATTTCATTCACATAACTCCTTGAATTCATTCATTTCATATGAGTAAATTTATATAACAGGCAGAGAAAATCCTACGTTAACCCATTTAAATGAGGTAGACTATTTTTTATCAGACAATGAATTGCTGAAATAATTTCTGTCTGTCTGTCTGTGTTAACCCGTCTATCTTTTTTACATCTACAAAATAAAATGACTTGGAATATTTTCTATATATTTATTGTTGTATGTCATAAGCAGAACATGCTTATATCTTTTTTGTGTCTACATCTAAGCCCATTTTTGAAATATATCTATAAGGATTTATGTAGATAGCTATTTACATCTATCTATATCTACTTTAACTATCTGTATTTATCTATATCTCTCTATATCTATCCTACAATTATAAATCTTACCTGAGCTTTGGACTAAAGTATTTACACACTTCGCATGTTCCATTTCTGCCCTCACAGTTTCTTGAACCCATTTTCCATAGGAAAAAGGGCGTCTCGCGTCCTTAGGGTATCGGCTAGTCGGCCACTCCCGACTGGAGCACTCTTACTTTTTAACAGCAAGTTTCATTGTTATTAATTTCGATAATTAACTGGAACGTGAACCAAGTGACATAGCATACATATATAAAATGCTCTAATAAATCGAAGCGAAACGTTTATGCAAATTTCGCTAGAGCAATAGATTAATGTCCATACCAGCTCGTACGCTTGATTCATTTGTCAGAGTCTAATGTTTAAAAAAGCAAATACTATTGCATTCATATGTTTAGACAAAGGTTATTGTCTTCTTTACAAGATATCATATTTGGGCTGCGCGATCTGGCGATAAGGTTGATTAAATTTATATCTATAGATGGTTCGTTTTGTGTTTTCTCTTTATTGGTAAAATGTTAATTAAGTTGAAATAATTCTGCGTTTAAAGAATTCTTTTCGGGCGATTAGCATTTGAATATAGTTTGCGGTCTGGGTTAAACCACAAACCAGTTGACGTCGAAGACGGAATATTTTAGAATTGACCACGCAAATCAATATCGTATTGCTCCTCCAGGCCGGATGCAGCTGCCTGGGGCGGCAGATATGTGCGAGATGGCGAGGCATACTGTGGCTGGGACAGAATGGATATGGCTGGGCGTTGCACAGCAGCCGGTGGCAGATATACATTGAGGGGACGCACCACCTGCTGCACCACCGGACGCTGCACAGCCAGCTGAGGTCGCGATATATATTGCGGCTGTCCGATCTGAACGGAGGGCGACAAGTACGTGCGTTCTGGTATCGATACCACACGGCTCACCTGGCGATAGGAAGCTGCAGGTGGCAAGTAGACATTCTGTGGACGCTGCACGGTCAGCTGCGGCTGGGTGATGTATTGGGGTGGCAAGTAGGTTCTGCTCGGTATTGTAGCAACAACGCCGCCCAACAACAACACAGCCATGACAAGTATAGAACGCTGCAAAGGGGGAAAGACTTTAATATAAAATAGCTCCTAAAAGAGCAGAGCTCAGGACTCACCATGTTGCTTGCTCAAAGTGAAATAATTAAATCGTTTCCAGACTCTGGAATATTTTCATATTTATAAGACAGCTGCCCAAGCCCAAATCGCGTGTACTTAGTATACATTATGACAGAATCACAACAAATTCGCGCAATAAAATTAGTTTTAATCGTGTTTCAAAGAAGCGCAAAATTAATGTGAACAAGAAGGAACAGGCATCTCAGCACACCAAAGATAAAATACCCTTACGTATGCTTAGGAGTTTGAAGATATGTGAGGATAATTGTGATGCTTGTTTTTGCTGAGTTTGGTAAACTGAAAGACTAACATGTCTATTTATATTGATCAAGAAAATATATACTTGATATAATAATACTAAATGCTTATAATACTTAATAAATTCAGAGATGCCACCTTCTATGCGTCACACACTTCATGGCAATACTTGACTACTCTCCAAAAGGGTAACTAGAAGCAGCTCAGACAAGTCAATCGAAGCAATAAAATATAACTGTTTATTTATAATGTATATACTATATACATTCTCTTATTGTCGTATTCACATTCTTTCTCTTTATTCTAAAATTTGGGATACGTCTCATTGTTGTACAAAATTAATCGCCAGGGAGAACATAAATCGAAACCTGTTGATCGTCTAACAGTCCAGTTAACAGCCTTAGCACAGTCACAAACCGCGAATGTTAGCTGCCTGGCAGAGCAGTAAGGTGAATGTTTAATTTGTAGTTGAGAATTTATATGCGAGGCGTATACGTAATGTGGAAGAGCATTTGTTTTTCTAGCCTGGCTAGATTTTTATTACGATTAAATTATTAATGTCTGGTCTGACAGTTAACAGCTTTAGCAGAGCCACAAACCCCGTATGTTAACTACCGGTCAGCAAGGTTAAGTACATGTTAAATTTGAGGTTGATAATTTATAAGCGAGGCGTATACGTAATGTGCTCTAAGGCCGCAGAACATTTGTTTTGTCTAGCCCGGCTAGATTTTTATTACGATTAAATTATTAGTGTCTGGTCAGATATTTTATTGGTTTTTATCAGAATTTGCAAATATATATTTTGTATTCTTGTATAGTTTGTAAATTGGCTGTTTAGTTTGATTCGAAGCCCGTTTTTGTTATCGACAACATTCCTATACAAGCTTTGATTGGGCAAACAGAACAAGAATCTTTTCTAATCATGCCTTAGAATATAAATTTATGCACATTTAATACTTGAAAATTCACAAAACTAATAGAACCGGTTGCATTGAATAGATGCTTTGTATTAAATGTGCTTCCACTTGTATTTTTGTATTTCTTTAGAGCGTGGCTTTAACTTGGTTTCGTTTCGTTATGACAACGTTTTGGTAATCCAGCTCTATTTCAGGCGCTGACACAAGTCGCAGGCATTTGCATTACCATGTTTGGATATAGGCCTTACATATAGAGATACATATACTAGATATTGGGATGTCTATATGTGCTGGTGCTTCTGTTCATTTGTACAATTGTCACACCCATAAATAATTATACACTTATATGTTTTTAACTTATATTAATTTATTGTTAACAGCTTCAAACTCGTTTCATTTGTTTGGCATTTAATGTGCCGCTGCCTAATTAAATAAGCGACAACATTTTCAAACTTTTCGATGAAGTAATCGAATTGAATTTGAATATAGACTAGAATCCAGAATTAGCTTCCATTTAAATGCCGGAAATTCAGATCAAATTAATACAGTAAACAGCCGCGATTGTATTAACCAAGAAGATGATATCAAAGTTGGGGCCAGGAAAGCAAAAGTGATTGAGCTATGATGAGTAAACCCCCTCAGGGTCGGTCAGTCTCGGATTTCCAGAGTGATTAACCGTTAAACATGAGCTCTGCGGACAAATTGCTGATCAAAAGCAAGAATAAGATGAAGCAGAAGAAAAATATGCGCACAGTCGAAGCTGTCTTAAATTATGATTAATTCCAAGCAGTCGGCATATTTCGATATAAGAAATTATGAAATTCAAAGAGTGTGTGTTTCGGTTCTCATAACTTAACTAAAGTCAGCTATGCGGGGGAAATCCAACTAAAACGTGTTCTATTTTAAGCCCAAAACCGGCATGCTTTATTATGGGCAAATTTAAGCACTTAAAGCTTAGATACCCTGTAAAACGCTGTGATATATATTAGGTGATGTATATTAGGTCAAAACAGTTGAGTGCACACGAGTCTGGATGCTGCAGAAAATATATTTAAAAAAAAATTAATCAAATTTTTAAATTTATTTTCCCATTGAGCATGCCCAACGAGTAGCTTGTTGCGAGGTTTTTCGAAAAATATTAATTGTATTTTTTCGTAAATCGCAAACGTGTTTTCTTTAAGTCTTTCGTAAAACTGTATATTATGGAATACATTGATATTATTAATATTTTACACACATCGAAAACTCTTTTACAAGCCAAAAAAAGAACCAAAATCAATATAAAAAGAACTTTGGCTAAGATAGAAATTAAATATGAATAATTTATATGATATGTTGCCTTAGTTCAATGCTCGCTTAGCATTGACTGCGGCTTGATTAGTCGCCGTCGCCGTCGACGTCAGCGGTCAGCATTAAGCTTAAGACGATTCGAAGTTTTTGGCGAGGCCAATTTTAAGTTGAGTTAATTGCGTGCTAATCGAATAGCGAGCGCCCATTTATAATCTATACGCGATCCAAGTACACAATTGCCAAAAAAAATATTCATTAAGATCTGCTGCAGTCGTAGCGCGCTTGTGGGTCAAATGTGACAAGGAAAGTAGCTCGCAGAGGTCGCTTTGGGACGCGCTTCCTTTCAAACTGGTTTCACACTCTATATACTTATATGACCCACTGTTCGCGAAGGTTGCCCAAAAGGCAACCAGTTCAGGTGTGGACCTGCTTGTGAGTAATTGAGGGCCCAATTGCGTGTTCGATTACGAGAGGTTGGCGGAACTGACGCGTTCTCATACAAATTGTGTCGACGGATTCTCATAAATAAAAGATCATATAAAATCTCGGGTCTGGGCGCATTTTTATCGCTCTTGATAGCCATAAAGTGGCAAATATTTTGGTTTTATATGTGCACGTCAGGGCAGCTTCAAAAATAAAGAGCATCTCTGTTCGTTTTCACCAGAGCATAGCTGGTGGATCTGGCGATAAATAAAACTGGAATATAGGCATGAATATATGACACTTTTATGGAGTTGTCTTCTATTATAAAATTCATGTTTTAGCATATTGTTTTCGCATTAAATTATGTATAATTTGGCACACTTGCCCTTTTGGGTATTCTTATCTACTGTTTAATGAAAGCGGATTACAAATCGATTGACTGGCATCGATATTATTATTTATTATTATTATTATTATTATTATTATATTTTATTATTATTATTATTATTATTATTATTATTATTATTATTATTATTATTATTATTATTATTATTATTATTATTATTATTATTATTATAATAATTATAATTATTATTATCATTTGATTGGTATGTATCGAAATTCGTCTTAAATAACTTATCGACTATCAATTATCGATAAATGAGTATATTAAAATGGTACGATTGGAATTCACCTATCGATTAACAATTATCTCTAAAAGTTCATATATTATATAACAAAATTAAGCATTCGAGCGTTTTTATCGACTAACAAGTATCGATAAATTATGTCATTTACCTAAGAACTCCAGCCCATTTATCGATTGGAAAGTATCGATAAATGTATAGACATAAATGTTTAGACACGTATCCAAAAATTTAATATTATGTGAAGATTGGAACATATTTCTTCGGTTTTCTCAAGAAGTCGGCTAAAAGAGTATTCAGATTTCGGTGCGTCACACACTTAATAGCTGTTTGTATTTATTTAGTAAAATTTGACTGCCTGCTGATAACTCAGCGCTTCATTGTGCTTAAATCTATAACGCTGGGGATCTGCCAAAGAGCGAGCAGAATAATTTTATGAGTGTCGTTCTGTCATAGCCGGTTAACCAGCCCAATCAGGTTCGGTTAATTTTGCAGCAGCTGTTGTTGCTATTGTCGAGAAGATTCTGCTTTTGCCGAACATATTTTGGATTGGTCGAAGCTATCCTGAAACGACGTTGCCGACGTATAAATAATGTCGTTCTCTTCATCGGCAACACAGTAATATTTCAACCTTCGTGTTGTGAATTTGTAGCTGAGTAAAATGGTAAGACAAAAAAAAGCAAAAAAAAAAACAGTGACCATAACTGAGGATAATTGAGACATAAAATGATCAAAACAAGCTGCCTGTGAGGCCTTTTAAGATCACCCAATGTGCCTATAAAGATTATTGAATAGTGCTGATCGAATTATATTCGCTTGACCCGACTTACAGAAACTCCTGATCGCCTTCGCCCTGGTGGCAGCCGTCAGTGCTGACGTTTCCCATCTGTTCTCGAACAGCGACAACCTGCAAGAGGATGGATACCACTACCAGCAGCCAGCCAAGCAGTTCGTCATTGACGTGCCACAAACCTATGAGCAGCCAGCTCCCGTAGTCTATGAGAAGCCAGCTCCAGTTGTCTACCAGAAGCCCGCTCCCGTTGTCTACGAGAAGCCTGCTCCCGTTGTCTACGAGAAGCCTGCTCCCGTTGTCTACGAGAAGCCCGCTCCAGTAGTCTATGAGAAGCCCGCTCCTGTTGTCTACGAGAAGCCCGCTCCTGTTGTCTACCAGAAGCCCGCTCCCGTTGTCTACGAGCAGCCTGCTCCTGCTGGCATCCTGAAGGAAGATGGATATCATTATGGCCAGCCTGCTGTCAAATTCGAACCGACTCAGGAATATCTGCCCCCAGTCGTCCAGAAGCCTGTCTACAAGCCAGCTCCAGCTCCAGCGCCAGTTCCTGTCTACAAGCCAGCTCCAGCTCCAGTTCCTGTCTACAAGCCAGCTCCAGCTCCAGTTCCTGTCTACAAGCCAGCTCCAGCTCCTGCTCCCAAGCCAGTGATCCCAGTCGCTCCCAAGGTTGTGATCCCAGCTAAGCCCGTGAACGAGTACCTGCCCCCAGTTGTCCAGAAGCCTGTGGCTCCAGTGTACAAGCCAGCTCCAGCTCCTGTCTACAAGCCAGCTCCAGCTCCAGCTCCAGTTGCGCCTGTTTACAAGCCAGTTCCCGCTCCTGCTCCCAAGCCCGTGATCCCAGTCGCTCCCAAGGTTGTGATCCCAGCTAAGCCCGTCAACGAGTACCTGCCCCCAGTCGTCCAGAAGCCTGTCTACAAGCCAGCTCCAGTTGCGCCTGTCTACAAGCCAGCTCCAGTTGCCCCTGTCTACAAGCCAGCTCCAGCTCCAGCTCCTGTCTACAAGCCAGTTCCAGCTCCAGCTCCCAAGCCCGTGATCCCGGTCGCTCCCAAGGTTGTGATCCCAGCTAAGCCCGTCAACGAGTACCTGCCCCCTGTTGTACAGAAGCCAGTCTACCAGCCAGCTCCAGCTCCTGTCTACAAGCCAGCTCCAGCTCCAGCTCCAGTTGCGCCTGTCTACAAGCCAGCTCCAGCTCCTGTCTACCAGCCAGCGCCTGTCTACAAGCCTGCTCCGGCTCCCGTCTACCAGCCAGCTCCAGCTCCTGTCTACCGCCAGCCAGAGCCTGTTGCTCAAGGACCTAAGGGCTACAGCTACCCCAACGACCCCCAGCCATCTTTCGACTTTTAGGGACCGTTTGTTGTAATTAGAAACTATCCTCCTCTAGTATTAGACCCCTTTTTCGAATTCCTGATGAGAAGTCACTTGAAATAAAGAAATACGACCATGAAAAAAATTAATAACTTATTTATCTGCAACTAAAATCATTTTGATCATAAATGGACATCAATTTTATTTGTTAATAATTTTAATTCTCCAATTTAGTATAACGATGGAAAATTCTTCGACTGAAACATTCCCAGTCAATATTGCCTTCTTGATAGTATTATTTAAATGTTGGCAATATTTTTCTATTTGGAAACACTTTAGACTTTCACATAAATCAACCTTCAGTTTCTTAAATTTATTTTAAGACATTTTTCATTTTAGAATTTAATTAAGATAGCTGGTACTTTTTAGGAGGCTTTAGTTCTGATTAAGTTCTTCTTTTCCTTTCTTCAGATTTCATATTAATATTATATTTTTTAGCTTTGTTTTAAGGTATATTTTTTATTATTTAAAAACTGTTTCATGTTCCCATTTTTAAATTTGATTTAAATCAGTTGCTTCATCTATCTATATTACGTTTTCAAAGTTACCTTTCCTTTAGCTTTCATTTTAAATTTCCACTTCTCAACTTAGAGGAAAAGTATATCCTATCTTATTTCCTAATGTTTCGATGACTCCCATTTTTACTTATTTTCTCATAAAAAGATTTAAAATCATTTTCTTAGATTTAAATATTTACATTTTATTTCAATTGCTTTGCTTATTTTATGTGAACGAAAATATTTTTATAGGTAACTGTGCCCAACATATAGGCTTTTTATTTAAAGGAATTTTTAGTTTCCTTAGCCCACATTTATGCTACATCTTATGAAAAAATACTATTCGTCTAAAAGTATGCAGCGATGGGTATAGATGCCCATCTTGTTATACGCCAAACCGAAAGGCGGTCAACAAAATAAATATGTAAATTGATCAAAAAAAGAGCTAAGAACTGCGGCTATGAGCAGAGAGCTCATTAAAAAGGCCTGCGAGCAATTGTGGACCGAAGAGAATCTAAACAAATTTTAAGTTTTGTTAAAGTTTCTTCCAAAATCTGGTTTTCAAGTGCTGCAGAGAGTGAGAGTGTTCGATCTGCTGCTGGAGGAGGGTCAAAGGTGCAACTGTATTTGTTATCGAGAGATACGAGAGCAACAATAAAATTGTCCAGATTGACAGAGACAAATTGCTCGGCACATTAATTGAAACGGAAATGTGTTGAAGAGTGTTGTCAGCAGGTGCTTTATGGCAAGTATAAATATTGAGTTGGAATCGTAGTTGGAGTCGGGCTGTTTTTCGAGTCGATTTGGCGGCGGGCACACGTGATGGATGCTGGCAGCGCATAGAATCATTAATTCAATGTGAAGTCAAGACAAAGCCACAGTGAATCAACTGACTGACACTTGACCCCACAAAAGCCAAACGAGTCACGGCCTTGACAATGAGGCGCTGTTGTAGTATTTCGATTTTCGATTGGAGTGAACGCAGCAATGGCCCCAAACCCAGAGCCACAGCCAGCTCATGTTTATCTAGGGCCGCTCCAACTATCGAATTGCTGTCGCAGCATCAACAACAACATCCACAATAACAGCAGCAGCAGCAGCAGCATTAGCATTAGCAATTTATAAACTGAGCCAAAAACAAACACGATCGACATATAGAAGTATAAATAGTTGGCGTCTCGACGGCTTTGCCTGCATTCGCGTGAGCCACGTTGCTGGCAGCTATAAAACATAAAACATTTAAGTACATTTATTCTATAAGGTTTTTTTGCCCCCCCCTCAGAATGGTAAGCGCTGCTTGTTCGCATCCATTATTATATTTATTCAAATTGTAGACTTTTAGCGGCTGTTTGTTTGGTTTTTGCTGGCGGCGCTTTGTCTGCATTGGGCCAAGGCGGATGTTTCGCAGCTGGTTCAGTCGGGCAATGGATTTGTCTACGATGTGCCCAGGGTCAGCGAGCTGGAGCTGGAGCTGAACAATGAGTTTCCCACCGGACAGGAGTTTCCACAGGATGCCATACCCGTCGCCCCCTCCGATGCGGAACTGGGCCAGCTGGAGGAGGAGCCGGTTGCGTCGGCAACCAGCGACGAGAGCGCTGCCTATGCCTCATCCAAGAGCCATGGTTATGCCTACCGAGTGCCCAGCAGACGCTTCAAGAGCTAAGCTCTTCATCCATTTAGCTAGATATTACTTTGTACCAAAGTCCTAACACAATAAAATTTAAAAACACGATCAAATATACTCTTGCAGACAAAGTATTCTGCTGCTGTTAAGATTCTGCAGATACGTTAGGATTATGGTATTATATTTATTTTGTCCTGCGTCTTCACAGGGACTCGATCTCTAGACGAACTCTAGAAGTCTGTCGACTCTAGCAAATGCCCGAAACCTTGATTAAGATATATTCGGAAAAAAATTTGATATTTTATTAATAATTTCTTTAGCAGTTAAGCAATATATGTTAGTTATTCCAGTCTGCGAGCAACAAGAACTTCCGAGCTTCGTTAAAATTGCTTTTAAATTGAGTGCCTTGTATTACGGACTCGGCTGTTGCTACAGATCTAGAATATACTTATATTAACTTCATTTATCCGCGTTGTCTCCATCCACAGTTTGTGACAAAAGTATAATACGCACTTGTATTAAAGCCACGTTCAGGCCAATTTTTTGTTAACCTTTCACCAGCCAAGGGCCTAAGCTTGCCTTGGACAGCGCTTAGAATAAAAACGATATTGAAACACACAAAGATGTGGCTCTTGCTCTCAATCCTATGCTGTTTGGTTTCTTTTATTTGACTACAACAACAACAAAACTAGCAAATAAATACAAAATATTCAAACAAAATACAAACCGGTTGCAGCTCGAGAAGTCAACGACAATTTTGCACATGTTGCTGGAATTTTGTACACTTGCGCCTATAAATTCGTGTGAAGTGCACAATTAATTAAATTATATTCACATAAATTACGCAAAAAATTGTGGCTAAATGCGAGCAGTGCGAAACAAGCGCATGCCACAGCAATTGATTTTCAAACATTTCGGTAATCGATCAGCCGCTGGCGGTTCAACAACCCGCATTAATTAGCTAAGCCAAACGAAGATGTTTTAAAATCAAAGTATACAAACAAATAAGGCCGCGCAAGAGGAGTGTGCCTGACTTAGATATACCCTTTACCCACTCTATTTAATGTTTGGTATTTTAGCCCTTATAATCTATGAGATATTTTCTAAAAATAACAGGTGGTCGATGTTATTATCGATTTGATAATCGAAGAAAATGTGCATATACTATCAAAAAAACATAAAACCCGTTTTCAATAAGTATAGGGTATTTAAAAAGTGATAGTTGAAACGACAGCACTAGAACTAGATGCCAGAGCAGAGCTGCTTTGAATACAATCTTAACTGATCTTCGATCTGCTCGTAAACTGTTTTGTGCCTCCCAATTAAATTAGTCAACTCGGTTTAAATGCTGGCAAATGTGTCTCAGTTTACGGCGTATCCGCTTACGTTTGCCCTCAAGATTCACGTGGGCCGAGCTGAGCTGAGCTGACAATTTGATAGGTGGCACAGTTTTGATGTGTGTCTTAAGTACTTCTTTAATCCGAATGCTTCCGCAAGCTTTAAAGCGACAACTTCATTGTTTGTGTGCCCCGTTTTGGTGGAGGGAGGGAGGGAGTGGACGGGGAGGCCATGAAATGCTGACCACTCCAACTTCTTGAGACGGTAATTATTATAAATGAAGTCTAAATGATTTATGACATACAGCGCAATGCGCTTACAACGCGACCAGCGGCCAGCGGAACTTAAATACTATTTGCCCAGCTCGGAAGTGTTGTATTGTTATTTGGCAACAAGCATAAATAAATGGCTAACTACGGCACACCGAAATATGAATACCCTTATAGATAAATGCGTGACTGTTGGGAGGGTAAATGTGGAAAATTCGAAAGCTCATAAATGATGAGTTAAGCATATTTTAAGAAACATAAATGATAACCATACAAAATTTCAACCAATATTCAATTCCGAAAGAATCTTTATTTGGAGCTTATTATGATAGCTGTATATATAATGGCATTATTTGACTTATAATTTTTGTTTTATATTGTTATTTATATTTATTATACTTTATTAACAATTTTATTATTATTTTTATCATTATTGTTTTTTATTATTATTTTCTATTATTATTTTTTATTATTATTATTTATTTTGCAAACATTATGTTTTCAAAAACGTCTTCTGTCCATTGCACACTTCATGACAAACTTATAATACCTTCCGCGAGCTTATAACAAGAATACAGTTGCTTTGAGGCCGCCTTATGACGACGTTGATGAAAATGCTCGGAGAGCATTTATCTTAACGCCGTTTGTAGATGGCACCAAATGAAAAAAAAACACAACAACAACAATCGAGTTGCGAACAAAACTTGGCTTAAATAATGCATAATGACTGCAGACAAAGATACAGATACAGACATAGAAACACGCACAAAGAATGCATGTGTATGTATATACTTATATATATATTAATCGATTTAAATAATAATAATAATTGGCCTTTTGAGCCACCATGGACAGTGGCTCACGAAGTTAGAATTGTGGGTATAAATAAACAGGTGAAGCTGTTATTGATCAATCATTGTACGTCTTCGAGTCCAAGGTGTAACATGGTGCGTGCTGCCCTCGGCTAATCTACTGCTGCAGCTCCAAGCTGAACTCTGTTGTCTTATTTTTTATAGAACGCATTCCTTAGTCTCGCACTGGCCGTTTGCCTACTGGCCCTGGCCGCTGCCGATGTCTCCCACCTGCAGCTGGAACAGCTCGAGCGCCACCCGGAACCCGAACACGGCTATGGCTACGACTATCCCAAGCCGGTGGTGCCCTTTGTGATAGCCAGCACGACGACCCCAGCACCTACACCCGCACCTACCTACCTGCCACCACCCACACCTGTGCCCACCTATCTGCCACCGCCACTACCCACACCTGTACCCACCTACCTGCCACCCCCACCACCACCAACCACAACGACGCCTGCCCCGACGCCAGCTCCAACCTATCTGCCGCCTCCACCACCCACCACGACAACGACGACGACGACAACGTCTGCGCCCACGCCCGCGCCCACCTATCTACCGCCCATCATTGTGCCGGAGCCGGAGCCAGAGCCGGGCTATCACTATGACGCACCCGCCGAGCCTTTCATATTCTAAACCGAACTACTTTCCTGTACCTGTTTTTGTTGACCCGGAATGCTGTTATTTCTCCCGTTTGCCTAGTCGTTGGTATTATATAAGTTCCGATATGTTTAATAAATCACGTTTGTTAGCTAATTGTTAAACTGATATTGTTCGATTCCCAATCATCACCAATTGTCCAAAATAACCCAAATTGAACTGAAAATTATCTTATTGAAGCACGGCGGCTGCTCTGCATATTTATGAGTCCCAAATGCGAGGGGTCTCGTGTGTTGTTGTGGACCCAATTAAGAGCGAAATTCGTTTTAATTATTTTCACGACGATTTAGACGTAGGGTGCCAGAGCATAGGTCGGCAGTGCTCGACTGGGAAATGCCCTGGAAATACCCTGAATATAGCGGCGCGGTATCTCTTCTTGCATTAAACGTAGATTATAAGGAAAGTTTTCGTTATTAACTTAGGTGTTTATACATATCGTAATGAAATGTTTAAGGCTACGATTTGGCTTACAAAAGAGTGTATATAGCAAGTCGGAAGGCTCTACCTTTATTATGGAATTGGAATGGAGAAAGGTATCCATGAATTGATTTAAATTGTATCTCCTAATACCATGCTTGAACCTTAAATAGTCATATTTCAAAATCGACATTTATTGATAGGTTGATATTAAATATCGCAATTAAAAGGATAAACTCTGTCGGTTTTTGGCATAGGAGAATATACTTATTACATATAACAATGTGAAGTTCTTAGTTTTTGTAATATCAGATATCAACGAGCTCAAAGAGAAGCACAGACAGCTGGAGATGGCGGCCTGATACAGAAAATATATAAGGTAAGAAGATTTCTTTCTTTCTCTGACTCACATTTCCATTAAAACCCTTCACCTTTTTAAACATTTTTAGGGTATTATAAATATACGGTAATAATTGGCTACGGCTTCAAGTTCAAGAAAACCAAGAAAAGTGTGAAGCAGGCAATTAAGCGCTGGCCTTTGTCTCTTCGCGACGACACAAACAACAAGTATGTATTAATTATTTCCCAAATATTTAGCTGGAGCCACTTTCAGCTGCAACATCGTATAAAAGCCTAAACCCCAACAAGCTGAGGCATTATTTGCAGTTGTCAGCAAAGCGCAGCAGCAACTGCTTTGGACAGCTACAGGCCACACTATCCCCATTAAAATGGTAGATAATATTGTGCCTGAATCTCGCTATCCTATTAATAATTGGTTTTTTGTTGCTTATCTTCCAGAAACCCTTGTGTCTTCTGCTGACCGTTTTGGCCATCTGCGGCAGTGGACGCGCCGACGTCTCCCACTTGTTTGGAGGAGGCAATCATCAGCACCACAATTCGCATTATGATTCGCACCACGACTCGCACCATGACTCCTATCATGACTCCCATCACGACTCACATCATTACGATCCGCATCATCATGACTCGCACCACCACGACTTGCATCAGGATCCCCACGCTCACCACCAGGATGTGCACTCGCACTCGCATGCGCATGATTCCCATCGCAATCACGGCGTGCACATCGATTTGCATTTCGATGCACTGCGCCAGCATCAACCCAAATCTGGTTACAACTATGTGGCACCAGCTGCACCGCCTGCACCCCAGCCCAAGCCGGAGTATTTGCCACCACCGAAGCCAAGTAACACGTATCTGCCAGCGGCTAAGCCGGAAACAAAGTATCTGCCACCCAAGGTGGCGCCCAGCTTGCCACCACCGCCACCACCACCTCCAGTGAAGACGCCCAAGGCGGAATACTTGCCACCACAAAAGCCACGCAGCAAGTATTTGCCGCCCGCTCAACCTGAGAACAAGTACCTGCCACCCGGAGAATCTGCGGCGAAGCCGGAGACCAAGTATTTGCCACCCAAGATTCCACCAAGTCTGCCGCCACCACCACCGCCGCCAGCAACAGCTGCGCCCAAGACCACCTACTTGCCGCCTGCGGAGCCAAAGCAAACCTATCTGCCGCCCGCCCCACCCAAGGCCAACTATCTGCCACCCGCACAGCCGGAGTCGCAGTACTTGGCGCCCGCTCTGTCTGAGGCACCTTCGGCACACCCCGAGCCAAGCTTTCACATTCCCATACCCTCGTATGCGCTGCCCCTGAGCCAGTCGGCATCTTTGCCAGCTCCAACTGGACCAGGCAATCCGGGCTATCAATACAACCAGCCGCTGCGCCGCTTCAAGTTTTGAACCGATGCCACACAAATTTAATTTTAAGTTGTGCGAATAAAATATATCACAAAATCAACACATTCACATGGAATATGCTGTTATATAAATTAATCGATCGCTTGTAATCGATAATTATCCAGAACTTCAAACAATTTACAGGTAATTTAAATTATTTCAATTAAGCCAAAAATTTTCTCATTTACAGCACTCAGCATGAGATTGATATATGATGCAAGCCAAGGCTGATTGTTAAAGATATTACAGATATGCACTAATAGAAGTAAAGAAAAAAAATTTCTGAACTGACAGATACCCTGTTACAAAGTACCCCACTTATACCTACTGTTTAATACAACTCTTGGAGTTTTAATAAATATAAGTATGGGATATAGAGTAATTTTGAAAGCAAAGTCCACTTTAGACTTAAGCCAAAATCACAGATGTGAGTTTGACCCCCCGGTTCGAGCCGGCAACCTCACCGCTTAGTACAAAGAACGAATCATTGAATAGTTTCTATATATTTATTTTTTTCGAATCATCATCAAACAAGCTCTTAAATAATAACTAAAAACAAATCCCAGTCTAGTCTAGTCTAAAGGATGACAAGTCGCGGGCTCGAGCCGGCAAGCTCACCGCTCAGTAAGAAGAACAGATTAGTGAATAACTTCAGGGCTTATTTTCGAATCGTCAAAAAAAAAACAGACTCTTAAATAATAATAATAACTAATCCCCGTCTAGTTTAAGGTTGGCAAGTCGGGGGCTCGAACAGATAACCTTACAATTAAGTACAGAGAGAAGATAACGGAATAACTTTGTTTATTTTTTATTTTCATGAAATCAAACTTGGTCTAGCTCTATGCAGGTCTGACTGTTTCAGCTTCGGGAGAAGGATTGGGGTGCAAATTCTTGAAAGACTAAAGTATTCATCACTGAATAACGTCGGTATTTATTTTCGATTTTCTTATAAAAATTTTCATATTATTTAAATTTAATTTAGTATATTTTATAGTTTTATAATTTGCTCCAATTCCATGCAAAGCCAGCCGTGAATTACATCAAACGCTTTATCGCGCAGCGATCGCATCTTTCGACAGTCTAAGCGAAAGCGATTAGAGTTAATTGGCCATTGTCTAAGGTCATCTTTCAATATATTGTCTTTCGATATACCCCACTCAAAAGAAAAGGGTCATAGAGCCCCCAAAAACAAAAGCGCCCAATCAAACACCGTCGCAGTCTACTTTAGAGACCCGAAGCACGCGCTACGCACTGCATCGCGGCCTTAGCTTCGACACTTGCAGCTATCCACGGGGTCTATAATTATAATTGTGGTGTAGATTTGAAAATGAATAATGATGCGAATGGATATTGATTGGTGTCTGTTACACAAAACATTAAAATCGCTAATTGCCAATTGCAGCCGGCAGCGTCGTCGCTTTTGTTAACCTCTTTCAGTCCCGAGATGAGTTGCCGATGTCGACTGAGGCCAATCGATTGTATTGGCTCTCGATCTTGGCCAAAACTAGTGTAGCCCGTAAAAAAATCTATAAAAATGTTACTATGTGGGGACTTCCAAAGCTAAATAATTTTAAATACTTATTTTTAAATGGAAGGCGTTTATAGCTGTCGGCTATAAAAACCAGAGTAGGCAAAGTTATGTTCGGTGTGCCGCAAATAAACATAATATACTTCAGGAAAAGCCGGCCAGGGTAGAGTGTAAGAGCATCTATTGCCTGAGTTGATACATTCGCACAGATGTCCATTCCTTGAGCTTATAATTAAGTGCAGACTTAATGTCCGCTTCGTGCAGAGCAGCAACAAAGATCAAACGCATAAGGCGATTGAATAAGAGAATTAATAGAATTTATATGCGAATAAAGGCAGCTCAGGGGTGAGACAAGAGTTGCTTCGTAAACGCATCAGACGAAGACTAAGATGGAGACTGAGATGGAAACTGAAGCGGAGACTGTGACGGAACCGAGGTGATCGCTCTATTGCTTGCTCGGTTCTCGCTGTTTGTATAAATAAAGAAGCACTTGCCGGAAACTGTATCATTTCAGAGCAAGCAGCGCATCGAGAACGTTGTCTCATAGCCCAGCCAAAATGGTTCGTTTGCGATCCTCTCATCCGATCTAATCTAATTCTCTTCTGTGCCATTTAGAAAGTCCTTGCGCTAACTCTGCTCAGCCTGGCGCTGGTTGCCGCCGATGTATCTCATCTGTTTGGTCACGAACATCAGCACGAGGATCACGCGCATCCTGGCTACAATTACGAGCCACCGAGCATACCCTTTGAGCTGCCAACGCCCGCCCCCGTTTACCTGCCGGCAAAGGAGCCGGAGCCCAATTATTTGCCACCAGCACAGCCCAACCCAACCTATCTGCCACCCACACCAACTTACTTGCCGCCCGCACCGGTGGTGCAGCCGGAGAGCAGCTACTTGCCACCTGGTCAGGTGTTGCCCACCTACAAAATTCCCATTCCCTCGTATGCCGCACCCCTGGAGCCGGATAACACATATCTGCCGCCGCAGGAGATTGTCGAGCCGCACAGCGAGGATGGATATCATTACAATCCACCATCCACGCCCTTCTTCTACTAAGCTCATTCTTCACCCATGCTAGCCAGCCATGTTTGCCACCAGATATTACCTAACCCCATGTGTATATACTTATATATGTTTTATGTCTATCTATGAATTGTACATGTATATTATCCAGCTATTTATTTATGACAGAGCTCCAAATGCTCCAAATGATTGAGTTTGCGCTCTTGTTTTTGAGAGAAAAATCCTCCACGAGATAATGTTGATGCTAACTCAGCTTATGAATTTTTGTATGGCTTTTAAATATCCTATTCATATTAATATTTAAAAAGCCCGAAATATAAATGAGCATAACAATATATCCTCAAATTTTTAAATTAAATATCTGTTGTAAATATATCTCTTATATATATATATATACATATATATACACAGTGATATTATGTATACATACAGTCACAAAGCCTCAGCTTAAACTTTGCACTTGAGCTTCGGTTGTGTTGGTAAAAAAAATGTTTTCTGTGATATTATTTACTCTATAATATTATTGAAACTTTAGTTAGCACATCAATTTTAATATTCATATTTATTATTTATAGTGGCCGCCCGAAATATCAATAAGAAACTCAACGTCAAGCTTTGAACTTGAACTTCTGTTGTGGGGGAAAATCCTCTTTGAGATACAATTACGAGTGCTCAGCTCGAGGGCCGCGACAGCATAATTACGCGTCATCGAATACAACTGAATGTATATAATACTCAAACAAAACACTCACCAAAACCGTTTCATTCATTCATTCATGTGGGCTGTGCTCGAGATCGAACACCCACAGCCGAGTCGGATCGTGATGGTATGTCCAAAATTCTTGGCGTATTGCGTGCTGATTTATTGGACCGTTTGTTCGTTTGTTAATTCGCATGAGTAATTGAAGCTAAACAAGCCGAAATGTTGATTCCGTATGGCTTTTACCCCCCGCCGGAGCCCATGATTTATGGCATTCACCTGGTCAGCGGATCACAGACGCTGCCATTGTCTCGGCCAAAAGGTGCGAAGAGGCGGGTGCTCTGTCTGCTAGAAAGTGAAACTAATGCCAGCAGGAAATACTATAAATAATGAATGAGCTCTGCTCAATTTGGCAGGCACTTGCTCTGCGGCAACTTGTTGACAAAACTAATACATTTTATATATAATATGTTAATTGTGCCTACGGTCTAATGCCGAATTTAACTGTGGAACCAGTTCGCAAGCCGATCCGCAAGCTCCTAATGCTATGCTAATTAATTAGATAATTTCGCTTGAATGCCTTAAATGTTTTCTTATTGTCTAGCTCTGCAATAGTTATTGTGATCAGCACTGCATAAATATAAATATACATAGGAACATAAATAATGCTTGAGCTATTAGCGCTTGAGATTCCTAAAAGCCGAATCAAGCTATTTCTGTTTACGTTGCAACTGGTTTCTATAATAACTATAAATATATTGAAAATGGATAGAACTTGATAAGACAAGCATTTTAAAGAGAAAGGTGTCTACGAATTCTAAACACTTGCGATAAAACAGTCCGTTTGAGCAATAAATAGACCATTTCCCAGCAGCAACTCTCTCCTAAAATATAGTAATCCAGAAATTTGTATATTTAAAACCTAAAGAAATTTTCATGAATATTATTGTGTAAAACCTTGCTATTTTTGACACTTTGGTCTACATTTTATTTTGTACAAGTCCAACAAGCTATATTATTCAAAGCTCTGGATAAACTCTAGATATAGACATTTGATGTTCTAACATGCTTGCTACATTCGCTACATTCTTGTGTTTTTTATAAATATCGATAGTGGGAATCTGATCTGATCAATTTGTTTCTATCTACACATCTAACTTAATTCACCCGAGACATTAACATATAAATATGGTTCATTTCAGAATGGAGAATAGAGCTTATAAAACGGACGTTTATTTGATGTTTACAATATCCTTGCGCATTCTACAAGGATTCGGATCTAGAGGCTGACCAGGACTCTTATCTTGGTATTCTTGGTAAGAGACGAATATCCAAATTCAAAGATTATACTTTGTTGATATCTCAGCTTCAATTCTCATTCTCAGCAATTTAATATAAACTTTACATGCATAAAAATGAGATGAAGTCCGATATTGTCTTTGTTTAATTCAAATATATTATCTACTTTTAGGCTGATGTTAACAAATCCAAAAGGTATGCTGTAAGTTCTTTATTCTCATAGTATAACAGTTTAAATACAAGCTGAATTTTGAGAATCTCTTGCAAGTCAATTTGTGTAGACATGTCAGAGCATGCCTTACATAATGCCAATCAACAAATTGCATTCCTTTACGCAACCGCGTAATATTCCATTATGAGATGTGCAGATCATTGGAGAACAAAGCATTTGCCCGGATGAGATATCAGAATGTTGACATGTTCATGTAAGAAAATATAATTAATCAAATCAAGATTCAAGGTCGGCTTGCGGTTGTCGTAATTATTTGAAGGAGCCTCCACGCGGAAGTCTTACAGCAATCTGGACGCCCATTCGGCAGACATTAACACCACGGCATTGTCATAAATCGAATCAAATCTTGTGATCGATTGTATCACAATAAAAATGGGCAATCAATTCATCAATCAAAAGCACTTGGCCGAGAGCTGGTTGAGAGTTGACCACCCGAACAGACAAGCGGAGCCGTTGGAAAGGCTCCTTAACTCATTTGTTTGCACTTTTGGAGACGATCTAGCAGCTAAATCTAGACAAATAACATGAGATCGTAAACCGGTTAATTTAATTTATTTTGAAAGTATTTTAGCAGATTTGCGTATTTGTCTTTGACGCGCTGCTCGTTAAACGACATTAACAGAAAAAAATCACCATTCCACGTCTCAACTTATAAAAATATATAAAATATTATGACTCCCGAAAGTTCACAAGATAAAACAAGACTACGGAAGTGCACGACTAGTATATACCCTGCTGGCGTAAGAAATCTTTCAGCTGCCTTCAATGATAATATAATTTAAGCAAAAAAAAAAAAAACATGCAGCGGCTTCTCCTTGCCTCACATGATATATGGGTAAATGCTCTCTCTTTTTTTTTAACTTCGCTTATAGTAATCGGATTTTTATGCAATTTTTAGGGCTTAAATGTGATATGCTAAAGATTAATAAGTAACTTATATAATTTCAAGGGGGAAAGGGGTCAAAATCCAAAACGTGAAATGTTTTAGATCTGTGTATACTCTAAGAGAAACTGCATTCCAAGTTTGATGTACTCAGGTTTTATAACTGACGAGCTATATTTAAATAACAAATTTTCGTTATTCATCGATTTTATAGAAATGGGAAATGAAAGAGTCTGTCAAGTCAGCTCTCATCTTGTGACTCTTATTATAATTATAAAGTATACTAACATCGCCATGCCATTGATAGAGAAGAGTCTACCCAGTCAGCTCTCATCTTGTTCCTCTCTGTAAAAACCATGGCGCAGATTATTATTTTAATTATTTAGCTGGCAGACAGTGAACAGTACAGCTTCCGTATGCAAATGGTACTCAGTTCTCATAGAGACAAGTACTGCACGCAGGTCTTCATATCATCGGGTTTCGTGATTAATGATGAGTAACTACTGGTCAGTTAGAGTTCGCAGCGGGTCTAATAAGAACGCCTCTGCGTGCATTGTTCGACACACATTTCTTGAATGTCTTATTGTTTGACTTTGATGCGAGCTGTGAATGGCATAATTACAGTCATGCTTCGATATGGCGTATCATGCACTGACCTTGGCCGTGCAAATGAAAGATTACCATATATATTCATGTGGTTCGTTTTCTTTACAAATAATTTATCTTTATTTATTTGAGTTTGCAATTCAACAATAACTAAATACTTTGTTTCGATGCGATTTCGTCTTCTGAACTTCATTTGTCTTTTTGTACTTTGATCTTTCGTTTGTTTGTTTGTGTTTTCGTGGGAAAAACGCCATTGATTAAAGTTTGGTTAGTTAATTGAGTAGTAGTTGGATGGAAGCTGATATAATGTATGCTTTGGGCTACTGCTAACGATGCCGATAGCAGTTCCATGCGTGCAGACAGTAGATGCAGTAGAAGTAGTAGAAGTAGTAGGAAGCGGGAACGGGAGATCGGGAACGGGAACGGGAGCGGGAGCAGGAGAGAAGAAATATATATATGGAGTGTAAATTAAAAAAAAAGCCAAGAACAAATAGGAAATCATATAGAAATTATATATATTAAATAGACAAAGTTAATTGCTAGGCATCCGCCCCTCTTTAGTAGCGGCGCTGACGATAGAAGCGCCTTACATAGACTGGACGACGGTATTGGTAGCCGGACTGGCTGCTGTATGCATGGCCGGGCACCTGGTGCTGCTGGGCCGCCAGGGGCGGCAGGTACTGGGCGCGCTGCACAATTGGCTGCTGGGCATAGGCGATCGGCTGGGCCACCGCGATGGGCCGGGCAATGGGACGTGGCAACGGCGCAACAGAGAGCTGACGTGGCGCTGGGGCGGCGACTGGACGCGGCGCCGGAGCAGCAGCTGGGCCTGGTGCCGGCTCCTCGATGTCAATGTATTCCGGTTCGGGTGTGGCAATGTCCTGCGGATTGGGTCCCTGTGTGGCCGAATCGGGCAGCTGTGCGGCAGCCGCGCAGCCAACCAGCGCCAAGACGATGAACACAAAGAATTTCTGCCGGAAACAAGAGCAAAATTTTTGAAGTACACTTTAATGTTGCGGCCATTTAGGTTTATTTAAAGCTCCAGACTGGGCGCGAATGGAATGCACGAGTGCCTCCACTCGAACCCGTCAGTTCTCAATGAAGCTGTACACTTGAGTCGGGGAACACTTGAATTGAGTTCGCGTTTAAGTTTTTCACAAAAGGTAATATATATATATATCTATTTATTTTTCTTTGGTCACATTAGTCCTTAGTACACTATGAACACAGTTTATTCCTTGCTGAAGGATCAGCACATACCATTTTGTTAAATTTGGATATATTTATATTTTCGGTTTGGTTACGCAAAAATTTCTCGTCCAGAAACGCACGAGCAATTTACACTCAAGAAGTTCAAAGCACAAATGATGATGAGCTGGGCAGTTTCTATGAAATTTATACTATATCTGGCCCGTCCGGTTCGCTATGTGGGTCTAAGAGAAGCAGCGTAAAGCGACGACCGCCAAAAATAACAACACACACACACGGTGTTATAAATATAGTAACAGAAACAGCAACAACAGCAACAACAAATTTAACAACATCAAACAAATTCAAATCAAAATTTAAATTATATAATATGATATTGGTTGGATAGAAACCACATAACTAGAAGTGGTCACATGTCTGAGCATCTGCCGAATCGCTAGACACAGTCACAATCACAATCACAATCACTTTGGTGTCGTCACGAGCCGTGACGCATCAGACGAAGACACAACAAGCCGACAAAGGCCTAAAGAAGATAGTTGGCCCCCAAAGAGTTAACTCGATCAGACATACTCTCTTTCTCTCTATCTCTCTCGCTCTTTCTTCCTCTCTCTCTCTTTCTCTGTCATTCTCTCTTAAGTGTGCTGTGCGGTGCTTGGCACGGCTCGTGGCTGATAAGTGAAGTTCGTTGCCTAAGTCTTTTGTTTTATACGCTCCAATTTGCATAACATTTTGTAAGAAGAATATTTTTAGCCAACACTTCTATGAAGTATAGCCCTCTAATTATGCAGATAGCTTGAAGTTTTTATTTTCTACTTTAGTGCCACATAAATCTATTGGGCCTTTACCCAAAATAGTGGGCATGGCTACACTTACAAGCAGCTTACATTGTGTTTAGCTGAGGCTGGGGATATATATTGTCTTTTACGAGATGCTGCCAAATCTTTTGATAAACAAAGCTAAGGAGATTGTCTGCCCATCGACAATTGTTTGTCTGCGCACTTGACCTCTGCTGCAAACAAATGGACAACAAACTAATAACAAATTTAACGGCTTTCGGGGCATACGAATAACATTTCCGTTTTCGTGCATGTGTGTGGGGGAAATACATTCACCACAGCCTAAGCTAGAGATGAGTATGTGTCACGATCTCTACAGTCAAATCGAGATAAGAAAATGCTACAAAATTTAAGGTCAAGCCCAGTCGATAGTTTATATATATACTCAACATGAATTAAAAGTCATAGAAGATAATATTTTAAATATGAAGAGTAAATTTATTGCTCGTGTTGGACCGTGTCGTAAAAAGCACGGCCCGCGCCCATCTCTAGCTCTAAGCATATCACTTAAGTGTTTCAAATGCAGGCAACTCTTTTTTTGGTATCAAGGCTGGCCTACAAACCTCTGAGATGGTCGGACATTTTGTGGATGGGAACATAAAAATGAGTTAGAACCTGGTCTCCATTGTATTGCGAGTGTGACATCATGTTGCCTTTCACCTGCTCATCAGCTGGCGTTGTGCGCCTTGATTAATTGAATCTTTGTCATCGGAAACATCGAAATCTAAGCAAACAGTCAAACGATGCGCATTTTTCAACCATGCTGCGCGCACCGAAATTAATAGATGTTTTTACGGTTATTAGAAAATTGAAAAGTAATTAATAACGACTTTGTTGGCATATTAAATTTCGAGGCAAGAAACTAAGCATCGATAAATCTGTCATTAACCACGGTTTCGCATGCGACGGTTACGTCAATATTTTTCGACTGTCATTTCATATGGATAACGGAAACTAAACAGGAACATTTGCATCGAGTCCGTAAATCGGTAAGTCGGGGCGTGCCAGATTTATGGAGTTGTTGTGCATTGAATTGGAGCGCATTTAGAGATATATATAGCCCATTTTATTTATTTTTATGGCAATAATCATCTAAAGTGAATATGTTTATCATTTCAGCCGTTCAGCTTTGGCAGCACCGGAACAAAAATAAACTCGCACCAAATTAGCATAGTCAAAGATTTGAGAAACATCAATAAAAATGAAAATGAAAAGAACCGGTACATACAAAAAGCTATCGCACAGCTGAATCAAAAGCCGTGAGCCGACCCGATGCGATTGGTCTCAAATGCCGGCAATCAAATCATGTGCCCAATATTTATGGAGCCCAAAGTGTCGCATCATTAGCCAAATGCACCAAAATCGGGCCTAATTGAAAATCGAGTGTGGCCCACGGTGAGCATTAACCTTGCGTCTTAGGCAACGCCTAATTTAATTATGATGTTGGCGAGCGTGGCGTGACAATAGTTCCAGGTAACATGATATTTATATATTGTATACGACCTGTTATCCGAGCCATGTTTATTGCTCGTTTACAAGCCAGATGCGGCGATAAGAACAATGCGCAGGCCAAAAATTATGGACAACAACAACGCGGATTCCCACGTCTACAAACTGTAGCTTAAAAGAAAACGTTTTATAGAGACACGCCTCGTTCTTCGGCTTCGACTGCGGCTTCGGCTGCCGGTTTTGGGGTTTTGCATTTGAATTGAGCTGTGTAAATACCAACAGAAATATGACAAATTTGCATGGCTGAGCAAAGGCATCGAGGCGGTGGCCTTTTGTCAACACAGTTAACAATCGGCCAGCATCTATTTGTGTTTTTCTTAAACATTTCAATCGGAACATGACGGCGCACGAGGCGTATGCGCAATGCCAAATTAAGTTGCTAGGTTAAACACGTCTACGTATCTTTAGCATAAATTGACAATAACTGCATGCTAAAAGCTCATAAATTAAACAAAGCTTCAGCTAAATTGCACAATTTAAATTATGTTGCCAGCAGGCCAGCCTTGGCCAAAGCCGTCTCGAATTCTTTTGCCGTGAATTAGCCAGCCAATCTTTCCCGACCCCTCGTACTACATGTTGACTCGCTCCTGTCATCCACTCAGACTGATTTTGTCAAGTGTCCGAAACAATGAATCGTAAATAACTGACGTGTTTCCGCACATTCACCAACGCCAGCAGCAGTCCGAATTAGCATTATAAATATTCAATTAACATCGAATCAAGTAAAGCAGAAACGCCAACAACGAAATTTTTGATACCCTAACTAAACCGATGTATTTCCATATTGCATAAGCGTGGGGCAAACTGAAGATATTGTACAAAAACTAGGTAGAAATGTCAGAAAGGGTCAAGAATTTATTAGTTACGCTTTTATTCTTAATTTAAAATTAATTTTAATCAAAATTTGATACTTACAAATTTGTATTTCTATTTGAATAAATTTATGCTTACTTTACTCTAACAAATTTAATTATTCGTTTTTACTTAATTTAAGAGTCTGCTCTATCCTTCTCGTTCTTGGTTTAAGTTAAAAAACTTATTTTAGGCAAGCCAATAATTCTTGATTAAATAGCGTGATGGGTTTCGGGATTACTTTATGTTTCTTTTAAACATAATTTGAGCCCGTTTTAAGCCTTTTTTATTATTCCCAAATCAAGTATGAATAATGCCTATATTCAAATAAGAAAATAGTTCGACTTAAGACATGAATTTTTACTCAATTTAATCCATAAGCTATGCATAATCTGGGAAACTTATTCTAAACTTATTTCTCTTAAGCCAAGTCTTAACATTTTTATAGTTTTTCCAATAATTTGGATGATTTATACTTAGTTTGAGAATATTCAAGAAAGACACGCTCAACATAATATTTTTCCTAGAATATAATATTCCCGCTTATTTAAGTTATGCAAATTCTTATAATGAACAGTTTACTCTTCATCCAAGCATTAATTAGCTGCTTTTTCGACATTTTGGTTGAGCTTAGGGTATGGAATAGATTTAATGTGGAGTGAAAAACTCAGTTAAGCTTTAAAGTAGAGATCTTGATTTTTCTCTCAGTGCAGTCTGCATTTTGTCCGCATAACTCATAGTCAAGTAGACATGCGAGTATTCTAAAATGTGGCCAGAAACCAAAAACAGACTATCAGATAGTTAGACAGACAGAATTGTAGAATGTTCAAAGTGTGCTCGAGTGATTTATAAATGCTTCAATAAAATGTATTTAAATGGGTGCTTGAGCAAATAAACAAATGTTGCGATTCGTATTTCGCATATATTTCCGCCTCCGCATTAAACCAATCACATGTTGTTCACAACTAATTGAGCTGGGCCAGAAGCCATGCACTTGACCCAGACGACGGCAGTTGTTTCTTTTATTCCCAAAATGTCACACTCCTATTATTAAATACGTTTCTCATTCTCAATATGCGACACGCGCTGTGAAAGTTGACAGAGATTTTAAAATTAATTGGCATAGAATTAATTTATGCAAATTGGTCGCAAATCGAACGAACCAGCATAGAATAGCCATAACATAGAACAGGCAAAAACAAGCTGGATCTAATCATTGTTTAACTTAGTAATTAGCTTTTATATCGCTAAAAAAGAAATAAAACTCAATAATTATGATGGCAGCTGCCCGTTGGCCATTTAATATCAGCGATGGCCAAAACGCTTAAAAATTTGCTTAGACACTTTGGCACCTTTTTTTGTATTTTCTCGGCTGGCTCGTGCCGCAGCTTGACACTTTGAACTTTTGCACAAAAACAAAAAGCAAAAATTAAACAATTGATTGTTGATTGATGTACAATTCTATCAATAAAACTTGAGCAGATAATTTGTACACTTAGCTGCCAAACTTGTTTAGCTGGCATTTGAGCCAGTTCTGTGCTGGTCTCCATTCATATTATTTGTTGGCTTTGGTGACAAATCTAGTTCATAGCTAAACATGAGCTGCCCCACCGATAACTATCGGTCTAACACAAAAAGTTAACCCGTTCTCGTTCTGTCAGCCGATCTGGCCTCTGGCACTTAGCGGTAAGTAGCCAACAGAAACGGAGAGTTGAAACTTGTTGATTTAAATGTTTATACTTATTTATCTGTCATTCAAGTTAATTTGAACAAATGCAAATGCCTTTATCTTTGTCTAGATATCAGTTAGCATATTTTTTATAGCCCGCATTTATTTTTAAATGGGTAGCCAGGGTATGATGTGCTTGTTACAGTCGGGAGAAGGAGACTTTAAGACAATAATGTCCGGTCTATATATCGACCAAGCCATGTCTGTCTGTCAAACTTAGGACTTGAAACTAAGAATATAAATTATCATTAATCATTTCGATAATATCGCTAATACCTTTCTATTTTAAAACAAAGTGTCTTGGAACTGAAGTTTGTTAAAATGGTTTAAAAGAGAAGGTAGATTCATGTGTTTAAGATATAGTATGTTAATACATTTAAGTGTAATATCATATAAAGATCAAAGATGGAATATAGTTATGTGTGTGCATATTGAAAGAGTGTGTGTGTGTGCGTTATTGTTGTATAAATGGAAGCTAGAATGTTAATGATTAGGGATTAGGGGTTACTGATAGTCGAGCATACCCACTAAAGCACTCTTACTTAATTTTTGTTGTTGTCTAAGACGAGAACTCGTTTCGCTTAGGCAGACACGTGACATGGTTTGGCTCGCAGCCAAAGGGTTCTCGGCTGTCCCGCCACAAAGTCTGGCCAAGATGTTCTGTAAAGTTCCAAACTAAGCGGTGTCAATGGCCCAACTAATTGGGCCTGTAAAGGCTTATAGAGAGAACGTGCGATTATGTGAATGTGTATGTGTATGGATGAAATGATAAGTAACTGCTCTGACATTGTTTTACTGCGCTTTATTTGGCGAGGGGCTTTGTTTGCGTCCGTGCATCTTGAAAATAGCTTGAATGATGCTGCCCAAATGTGATTGTTGTGCAAGTGTGTGTGTGAGTGTGTGTAAGGCCAAGGTTAAAATTTGTAAAGAGATTGTAAACATTGGATAATTTTAATTTTGTGGTTTCTTTCAGTTCGCCAGCCTCATTTGCATTTTTGGCGCTGCGCCGACTCGTTGTTGATTTGTGTTTGACACGTCTTATAGATTTTTCTTTGACAAGTGCCTGTCAGCGCTGGAGGCCCTCACGGCACATGGCGACGACGACTACGACCCACATTGTTGTTGTTGATAAGCTTTAGTTAAATTTGACCGCTGCACAACGCACATTTGACGTGCCGTTAATTGTGTTTCGCGACCAAAAGCTTCTCACACCAGACCAATCGCCGGTTTCCTGCTGCCAGTCGACAATATCTAACAGCATTTGCGTGACAAAAGCCACCCAGAGGCATCATGAATGGTACGCTCTAAAAGATATATATCTATATTCTATACACATTCGTCAATGAACTGCTTGTGAGGCTTTGTAAAAATTTAATTGAATTTTAATAGCCAACAACAATGTTTTCCTTGATAATATGCTAATCTCTGGTTGAGCTTCAAACAATAAAAATTGAAAAAAAAACAACATCAAATACAAATCATACCAGTTACAAGAGCTTATATCTATTTAATAGCACAAATTAATTAACACCCAAGCATTGCCTTTTTTCATTGTTAA